GCATGCGTAATTCATCAGTTTGGAGATGGAATGAAAATAAGATAGCTTGGTGACACTGAATAACGTGCTGTGAACAGCAGCGTCTGCTGACCTAACTACGCTTTCAATCAAGTATCAGTGTAAATACAAAACTAATCTAGTGGGAATATTTATGCACAGCCTTATCCAAGCAGGCTGATATTTCATAAACAACACATGGTTTGGGCCTATAGTCAACTCCAAGATAAACACCATGTGTGATTTGTGATTTCAGCAAGTTTGAATTTTGATGCTGTCTGGGGGGCTGAAATAGAGCCGAACGTTAATGTGAAAATTCAGTTACGGCAGTTGTATATGACACTGTGGGGTTTTTTGAAAACCTTTTTTTCATATTGAAAAATACCAGTCCTAGCAGTGGACTGATGTGGATAATTTTTCATCCATGGGTGGGTGGATGAGTATTTTTTTTTTTTTTTTTTTTTTTTTGGATTGGATGGGTTGGGGGGGGGGGCCTGTGGTTGTCTTGCAAGCTATTATTCAGAATCCATTCTTTATAGTTGGGAAATATATGTTTACTTGCAGAAGTGTATGAGTTGTCAAGTTGGTTCGTATGTTATTTTGCAAACCAGTTCACACGTTTGAAAGCCTCATCATATTCTTGCCTGTGGTTGTATTTGCCAAACATGTAGGTATACAGACATAATACTACTTCAAGGAATCCTAAGGTCGTTCACAAGTGGTGTACAGTTTCACAGCAACAGGAAGTTGGACTGTTTTGTTTTTACTGCAAGGCAAAATGTCCCCCAGTTAACTATAAAACATTGATTCAAAGGTAGCCATATTGACCTACTTTGCCAAGTTAGGGATTCTTTTCAAAAGCTTTTAGTTGCTCAGTGCACCTCAATAAAATGGTCTGTTTTTTTGGTTTCATGGTTGCTCTGAGTGGCTAGATTCATCATCAGGATACACCATTCATTGAATGAATGCAAGTCCACAACGCATTGTTTGTAGGTCAGTACTTACTTTATGAGTTCATGCCTTCCCATCCATCCAAGCATTGTTTTCTAATGGGACTGTCTTTTATAAAATGTTCAGCTTAGGCGAGGGTAATGTTGTTTTTGCCTTGTCACAGCTACAAAAATGTACCTGTAACACTGAAAAACGAAGTGTTCAGCTTCAGATGTGGGTAATGATGTGGCTTAAGCAGTCACAGCTACCTGTAACACAGAAAATAACACATGTACATGCACTAGACTGCATTAGAGATTTGATTGGAAGTCAGCAAATTTTAAATTGGGACATATAAGGCTGGTGGATTTGGATCACACTTTGACGTAATTTAGTGGATGAAAAATTCTGCTTAGATGAGGGAGATGTTGTCATAGCTACAGTTAAAAATACGCTACCAGTTAGTACATGACTGCATTAGAGATTTGATTGGAAGTCAGCAAATTTTAAATTGGAACACATAGGAGTGGCTTGGAGTCACACTTTGACATACATTTAGTGGATGAGAAATCCTGCTTCTATTGCATACAAATGTCTCCAAAATAAAAGTCAACATACATTTTGTATGTATTAAAATCGTTAAATCTGAGAGTGAATTTTACTTAAAACAATCCAATATAGGACAAATTACTAAAAATTTAAAAGACTCAAATATTTTGTGCAAACACAAAGCTCTGATTACATGTTTTTATGGAAAGAGTTTAACTTCTACCAGATTTCAGTTTGCTGCTGGCTGGACAAATGTTTCTTACTGAATGGTACATGTACTAGTATTATTAACTCCGTAATGCAGTTGTACGATTGCTATGAATTCAACTTTCAGTACAGCCGAGGATCAAATGCCTTCTGTCTTCTCCGTCTGTTTGTTTTGATGTGTATATCATATATATTAATCACATAAACCAGTGAACTGTTTATACAAGCCACTTGTGCTAGGGTATTGAAACGTTTGAGGCTACATGCTGTCTTACATTCAACAAACCCATGCCATTTTTTATCGGGTCAGTGCATTTTATTACCGGTTAGATTTATAACTCACTGAAGGCAGTAGAGCCTTTTGTATTGCGTCACTTGTGCGCAAATATAAATCATTCTATTTAGAGATTCAGAAACTCGTTTTTTTGAAGTACATTGCATTTAAGAAAGTGTATTGAAAAGACAGTATTTACTCCAATAAAAGAGTGTACTGGTCACAAATTGCTTGTATTTTTTGTGGGTCAGACTTTTCTAACTGAACTTTTACTTACGCATATGCGCTTCTGATATTGTTCAAATATTATACAAATGTAAATGTGTATCTAGATTCTTATGCTGGATGTAGTAATGATAATAATCACGCCCTTGTTCAGCACCAGTACAGATGATATACTGTAAAATACTTGATTTTTGCTGAAGGAATGATTCAGTTAAAATAAAATCTACCTGTTTTCTTTTATTTTACATTCAACTCATCAAAACTCAGTGAAAATGAATTCCTTACAAAACACCCAGAAAAGTTTTTTCAGCGAAAATTAATTCCAGCTAAAAAAAAGTATTTTACAGTAAGTATCATAGTACATTATGGGAACTAGTCACTTGGACACTGCAATTGGGTACATAAAAATGTATGTTTTTTTTTTGATGAGCTTTATTCTTCCTGTGTTTAAGTCGTGTGTTAGAAAAAAAAAACATGTTTCACTCGTCATACATCTTTGTCTATACTGTAATACTACTTTGATTGTAAACATGTAAATTTTTTCCATTGAACTGTGGCTGAAAGCCACCATGGATAGTTGAAATGAATGAAAAACAAAATAAAAATGATGTCAACACACAGGTACCACATATAACAATTTGATTGCTTCATATGGACCTATGTCCACATGTTGATTACCAGTATTCTGCATCACAAGACGTTCCAC